ACGCGAAGAAGAAGCTCGACGACAGGTCCAGGCGGAGGAGGGGCACAAGAAGCGGCCGCCGCCGTCCGAGGCCGCGGCCGCGGCGGCCGCGAAGATGGGCCTCGACGGCAGCGGCGGCGGCGGCGGCCGCGGCCGCGGCGGCGGCCGCGGCTCCTTCCGCGCTCGGCCGCCGGGCTACACGGCGGGCCCGGCGAAGAAGCGCGACAGCATCAACCGCTTCGCCCAGCTCCGCGAGCACGTCACGGGGCCCGAGGACCCGGAGGCGCGCGCGCGGGCGAACAGTACGACGATCATGTCCGCGGCGGATTTCGCGCATCTCGTGAGCCAGCACATGGACAAGGAGAGCAACACGGCGAAGTCGCTCGAGGGCGCCACGCACAAGGCCACGGAGAAGTTCAAGGCCTTCCGCAAGCACGCGGCGCCCAAGGGGCCCCTCGTCGTCGGCGGCGGCCTCGACGCGTCCAAGGTCTCGGGCGCGGGCGCCGTGCGCCGCGCGGCGCGGAACGTGGGCCAGGAGGACGTCGCCCAGTTCAACCGCGCTTTAGCGAAAGCCGTCAAGACCGGCGGCAGCCCCACGGGGTCGAGCCGCGGCGTCAAGGCCGGAAACGACGGCGTCGCGGGCGTCGACCGGCGCGGGTCCGTCGTCGCGAAGATCAAGACCATCAAGGAGTCCGCGAGCGACTCGAGCGACTCCGACGCCGACTCCGAGGGCCGCGGCGACGCCGACAGCGACGAGGAGCCGACGCGCCTCGAGCCCTGGCGGCGCACCATGTGGTTCCTGACAGGGCAGCAAAAGAGAGCGAAATTCCCAACTTCAAAGGCTCCTTTCTCGGCCGTTTCCCTCTCGTTTCGGCTGACTTTTGGACGAGCGATCATCTCTCGGAGCGGTCTCGAAGCCTGGATGTGTTTCCCGGAGCGCGCGCGCGCGGAACACTCACGTTGAAGCGACGTTGAATCACCTTTTTGCTGCCCAGGTTCCTGAACTTCGGCATGAACGACCCGTGCGTCGACGACGCCGTCGCGAAGATGGGCGTCAAGACGTCGCCGCTCAAGGCGCCGCCGACGATCCGCGGCCACCACGCGCCCGTCGCGCGCGAGGTCGAGCACGGCGACGGTGCGTCCGTCGCGACGGCCGCGACGACGGGCTCGACGGCGCTCGTCGGCGACCGCGACTCCGCGGCGACGCGGGCGACGACCGAGAGCGCGTCGAGCGAGAGCGACGGCGACTCGAGCGAGAGCGAGGGCGACGAGGACGACCTGGGCCAGCGCGAGGTCGTGTTGCGCCACTGCGTCGCCAAGGTCGCGCGCCAGGACCGCGTCCAGGGCCTCCGCCTCGAGGAGTGCTTCGTGACGCGCGTCGTCCGCGCGGCGTCGCACCGCGCGGCGCCGCCGCCGGGGAAGCCGTCCCTCGCCCCCGGCGCCTTCCCGCACCTGCTCCGGCGGGACCCGAGCGCGCCGCCGCACGTGCGCCAGGTGCGCTGCACGCACTTTGCCGGCGCGACGCACGGCCACAGCCCGCGCATCGAGCTCCCGCACACGCCCGTCGGCGACGGCGCGGCCCGGGCGTTGAGCAACGTCGTCGCGAGGACGAGGCCCGAGGCGCTGGTGCTGGACGACAACAACCTGGGCGACCGCGCGGCCGCGGCGTGCGTCGACG